GTTTTGATTGCAAGAACTCTCGATTCTCCCTTTTTAACTCTACAGGCATAATTGGAAATGATGATCTCCTCAGGTGTGACAGGGTTGAAATGCATCTGTGTTACACGGTCCTGTAGGTTTGAAGCTGCACATATGGGAAAGGGATCCTGAAAGTTGTCCAGTGTTGAAAGAACTTCTTGTTGTAAAGGTCCATTGCTGTCAGGTTGCCTTTCAAGGATGGTCTTTATTTTTCCCCTCAAGGACTCAGAAGAGCTGTTTGATACTGTTGGACACCAAGGACAATGTTGTTGACACTCCTCTGATGGGGGAAAAAAAAACACATCAGAGACATGAAAGCGTAAATAGAAAATATAACAGAAGCAAAATGCAACTCTATTTCTTTAGCTCAAATTAATGAGCCACTGAATGTTGTAATTTACCAGTGGAGCAGTAGAAGAAGAAATCAGCCAATAATTGGCATTGTTTTGCATGACATGCCACATGCATGACTCACGTGGCACAAACACATTGCACCGAGCAAGATGGAGGAGCATGAAAGGTTACAACAGAAAAAGTGAACAAATGATTGCCTCATTTATTTTTTTTATGTAATTCTACTTCATTTGTCTTTTATGCCTAAAAGTGAACACATTTTACACTGTTAAGCCTATTTTAAACTGTTGAGTGTGCCCAGAGTTACATACATTGCAGTGAACTGCACAACTCTTGTGCTTAACTTCTTCGTAATGTACATTTGTTCTTAATAACTTATATAGGTGAAAGTAATAGCTGAATAAAACCAGCGATGAAAAACAATCAATTAATTGCAAAGATAGTGGACAGATTATGAAAAAAAAATCATTAGTTGCAGCCTTACATTGAACCAGACTTATTAACAAGTTAACAATGACACCCCCATAATATCAGATGAAGCAGTACCTGTGATAGGTGGCATTGCTCCCGCACACCAATAGCAAATGCAGCTGCACATCTGGCAAGATCAACAGTTTCTCTTTTACCCTACAGGACAAAAAGAAAAACAATTGTGTAAGAAAAATGACTCACTCAGAATGTGTTTCAAATTCCACCAGATGCAAAACAAAACAAAGAAATATTCCAAACTGTTGTACATTTTTGCTATTAAAAGATTCATACTACAATGGATAGCTAATGAAGCTGCAAATGTTATGAACAATTTAAGAGTTATTTAATGAAACTTAACCAATCTTTATGGAATCTACTCTGAAGTTAACTGAAAGAAAAATTTGAAAGCTGCTTGGTTCATGGAGCATCTAACAACAACCAAGGCAGGTACACAACACTGGTAAATAAGTTTATTTATTATGTTTAAGTATGGTAACTAAGCCTACATTGTTGTGCAAGCCTGAATTTCAGCGGATTCATGCATTTGAAATTCAGCACTGGCCTTCATACCTATTAAAATATTCTAATCAAGTAGTTTATCTTAGAAAACACATAACTTTAAAACTATAATTTTCACTTGAACTGAGTACATTTTCTCTAGTTAGGCTTTACTACGGTTTTACTAAAGCTGAATTGGGGTAACTGTGCTTGGTTAAGGTTAAACAACACACATACATTTAAAAATTCGCGCGCGTACACACAGAAACACATAAAGTACATTACCTGATTCTGACGAGGTGTTTGAAGCTCAGCCGCGTCTTGCTCCATCACGTTCTGACTTTCCTGTCGCTCCTCCTCCAACACCTCCGATGTTACTGGGGGGTCTAGTGGTGGTGGCTCTACTTCAGTGCCATTGCCATTGCTAACAGTTTGTCTGGGTTCGGCAGTATAGTCGGCAAAAATGGCTGTACCAAAATTTTCGCCTCCTAATACATTTGCATCGGATGAAGCTGTCAGCCATCCTGTAGGCGGGTTCCCAGTGGAGATGTATTGTGGATGTGTGCGTCTGAGATGGTGGTAAAACGAGTTGAAAACACGGTAATCCTCGCGCATCCATCGACTCCACAAATGACACGGAAATCTGGACTGCGACTGTGTGCAGTATTAATGTGACTTAAGAGAGACTTCAATGTTAACGCCACAAAGACGAAGCAAATCACACACCTCCAACAGGCCATTGTATTAGACTAAAGTCAAGCAAAAAATATGTTGCAGTGTGGAGCTGTTGCCGCGCTAGTTTGGGAAATACCAAGTTCATGGGGGAGGGGGGTATTACAAACTGGAGCTGTAAAAACAAAAAATGGTCACAAATAAGGTAAAATGAAATAACACCTATAAGAGTTTATTTTAAATCAATGAAGAAGAAATTTACCTATCATACTGACTGTGTTTTATGAACGTACAAACCACTAAATTGTATATAGAAGCAAAAATTGAGATGTGCACCCCCTTCGTGTTCCATGTTAGTTGTTACCCAACTCCGTTTGAATTTGGAGTCACAGGAATCTTCTGCACCTGAGCATTGAAAGAAAAACTGTGAGAGAAACTTCGTCAAGAAAGAGAGGTAAGCAATTTTAATTTTTCGAATGTAAGTAGTGTGTAGTCTAATCACTGTTTTAAAGTCAAGCGGACAGAATAATAAATTTAATTTGAGCGCGGGAAGGAGTAATGTAGCATGCTAACGGATGCTAGCGTTAGCTTAGCAGCCCTCGCATGTGGTTCAGAGAACATTATTTAGTGAAGTATCTACTGTAATGTTGTGAGAATTCCTAGCTATGCTATTTATAAGGGGCAGTATTAGCCGTTTGTATTAACTTAAGTTAATAGGCACACTGAGAATTTCTTTCAATTAGCAAGAGAGCTAATTAACCACATTCAGGGTTTTCCAATTGTCTTTGACTGATTTACTAGCTGCTTGATTCCCTCACAAGGTGTGGGTTTAAATTAATATTTTGATATTAATTGGATTTATTAAAGTGGGCTCAAAACAGTGTTATTCAGGAATCAGGCTGGTTGGTAAAACAAGTAGCGCTGTGTATCGATTCAAAATTGAAACAGAAGATGGCAGCACTGTATGTGCAAGGATGCCAGCTGCCGTTAAACCCCGAAGAAGAAGAAGAAGCTGTATCCCAGAATTCATAGCGCGGCCTAGCTCAGTTTCCAAAAATGGCGGCAGCTAGTTAGTTTTAAAATTTTCTTATTACTCTTTCTAGGTCACAAAATAAACGTTTAACATATTTTCAGGCAGAATGTAGCCGTGTAAACTTCAAATATCTGGACAGTTTATCAAGACACCACATATTTTCAAAAGCGCTCCGACGTTTTCGGAGACGTCTGTTACCCACTAGCTCGATAGCTAGCCGGGGTTTAACGCTCACTAGAGCCGTGAGAACACCGGACTCCGGGCGAACCATTTTCAAAACCACCGCCGTCTTTCACTACTCAGGTGAACATGATATATAAGTCACTTAAATAACTTAAAAATGTTATTGTTTGGCTTTTTTCAGTATTTTATTTGTTCCTGAGTAAATCGGTTTGGCTGAGATTAAAGTTATAGTTTTTACACAGCTGAATAAACGTCAAGCAGACACTGATTATCAGAAGTGTGAGATGCTGGAGAATATACTCCGGTGTCCTTTTATATTTTAGATAGCAATGAGCAATCTGCAAATTTCTTTAAAATGTAATAAACTATCATCTTGCCTTTATTTTTAGTTAGCACATACCTTAAACACTTAAAGCTATAAGCTAATGATGTTATGTAAGAGCAGATACTGCTGGTGCAATAAGCTGTACATTTTACGTCCAATGGATGCATGATCTGGCAGCCCTAGTCAGCATAATCTTATTGATGAAATTCAATGACACAAATCTGGGTGAGTAAAAGTTCACCGGGCAATATTGTATAACCCTTTCAGACCTCAGCCGGGCTGTCTGGACATTTCTTTTCTATAATAGCTTTAAAAAGGGTAAAAATGTTGAACAATCAAAACGATTCTTTGACGTGAATCAATTTGATTCTCATGGGACTCAATTAAGATTCAACTTTTCAAATGTTTTTAACATAACACTAATTGTAAACATTTGTCTTGCAGGTGACTGAGCAATGGAGAAGCTGGATGATGTAACAGTATCTGTCCTTAAAGGTTATATTTGATAATATATTTGTGTGTGTGTGTGTGTGTATATGTGTATATATATATATATTTGTTATATATATATATATATATATTATATATATATATATATATATATATATATATATATTAAAAAAACAGTTATGTTTGTGCAGTTATGTGCTTGCACAGTTTAACTGGTGTTTGTCTTTTTGTTAGCTGCAAGCATTGACGAGCGCATGCTTTTAACATTGACCCGTGATGATCTGAGGGACCTTTTTTCTGGGCCTGAGCACTTTCTCAGAAGAAAACATGTGTGGTCAATAATTCATCCTGAGGTATTATGTAAAAATATTTAGTTCAACTAATCTCCAGAAAGTATGCTTTTATTTTAGCAGTACTTGACATTTTTATTTTCTCACCCTAAACCAGGAAGACTATCCGCTACCACAGAAACCTGAAACAACTTCTTCACCCAGGGTAGTTGCAACAGGCCCTCCAACTGCTGATGCTAATGTAAGCCAGCTGAAAACCTTGCAGCTCCCCAGTCCTCCGGAATATGTTCTGTACACCGACAGTGAGTTGGAGCAATGCCGAAAGAGTTACCTGGAGTTGGCCTGCTCCGGCAGGGAACAGGCATGCGTCATGTCAAAAGAACTGAGATGCAGATTGGTGAGAAATACAATCACAAGTATGGTGTCCCTTTTGAGAGCAAGCCAAGGCCAAATGGAGCGATACCCCTCTAAGACCGAAATCACTGCAATGGCTAAAAAAGTTGTGGAATATTATCCTATGCTGCAGGATAATGATGCAAGCGTAAAACACGTAAGTTCTTGTATTTGTGTCTCATATATAAATCATTTTGTTTTGTTCAGGGGGCATGATATATATGTATTTTCACCAGGAGAGCATTAATGCCAAGTTACAAAAAAGGCTGCAAAATATGAAAACCCCAGTAAAAAGGCAAGGACCAACACCGGAGAGGGGACGGCCCAAGAGAAGGCTCACTGACCTCTACCCAAGGGATGAAGAAGCTGATGATGAAGATGCTGATCGCAGTTCTTCCAGTGGTGCATCTACTCTGTTATCACCTGTCAGAAATTCTGACAATGCCTCCACTTCATGTGAGTACTAGTAATTTTGTAAAATGGTTATCAACACACAGCCAGTAGTAGCTAATGTTTTGTGGAAGTCTACTTCAGTAACAATGAAAAACCAAAATGCTCTTGTACTTCTCTCTATCTTAGCTGACAAGGATAGTCGGCAAATACAAGCAAGACATTACAAAACATTACAAGAAATGTGTAAGAAGGCAAAACCAAACCAAGAAGATGTGTCCCAGCTATTAGACCTCGAGTTTGAAGCCAGAAGATCCTTCATTGACTCAGACACCATGAAAGAGGAGAACAGAGCTTGCCTCATCTTGGATGCATATCCATGCTTTAAAGAATTGCATCATGTAAGTTTTTGGAAGAGTTAATAAATAATCACTTTAATTTCAAATATATTTGGTGTGGTAGTAAAGTTATTTTGATTTTATTTGTCTACTTATTTTTTTAAACCTATTGTAGGCGTTGGGTGAGCTTCGCAGAATTTTGGATCCCCACAACAACAAGTTCATCAGTCAAGTAAAACTGAGATGGGAAGAATTCTGCTCCAGGGTAGAGTTCTACGGTGTGTCAAAGAAGGCAATGAATCCACCAATGACCATGGACAAAAGTAAGTTTTACCATTTGAATACAAAGTTCTCATCCTTTAAAATTTATGTTTATGAAGGTTTGTTTCTGCTTTGTCCAGCTGAAGCCCACCTTGCACTGATGAAGGCTCTTCCAACCCTCTTTCCCACACCTGCCCATCCACCAAAAAAGATGGGGAATGCTTCTGAAGCATTTCTACATGTCCTGAAGGTAAGTTTTATAAAATTTGCTTATAAAGATCTACAGAAAATTTGGCAAACAAAATATTTCGGTCAAACATGACTCAAAAATGCTTTTTCAGTTTCAGCCGAAAGACTTAAATCTATAATTTATTGTTTTCATTAATTTATAACGTATTTAATGTACACGAGTGTGGTCACATAAGGAGTCGCTTGATAAACCATAAGTCAAAACTACTATAAAATGTGTGTAACCAACAAAGAACAAGATAATGACATCTCCAACGTTATGACCAATTCCCAGCAAAAAAACATACAATTAACATAAGATGTTGACTGTCATGTCTTTTGTGTCTTGCAGCCTACAGAAGATCCAGATGCTGTCCTCCAGAAACGAAGCTTGTCATGTCCAGTAGTGATGTTCGATGGCTGCAAGTGTGTCATTGCTGTTGGTAATTTACCAGTTACAACATTTGACAAAGAAAAAATTGGTGAGGCTATGATATATGTGATGGCATACTTTTATGCACTCCATCTGACTTACCCCAAATGCGTGGCAACCCTGCTGTCTGTCATTCAGACAGAAGTTCTCCAGGATGCCATTCATGAGCATGACACTACATCATCTTACAGAAAAGCCCTGGCAGAATGGCATGCATTTATTGGAAAGTAGTGTGTAAATTTCAGATAAGATTAGGAGAGGGCACTTCTGTTTTGTTTTTGTTTGTTTTTTCAATGTGGGTCTTATTTCTAAAATGGAAAATGTTCATTTACTCACCCAGACAAGTTTTGTGGTATTTGGTGTCATTCGGAAGAAATTTGAATCTTTGTGGTCTTCCTATGTCACTCGTCAATTTTAATGGGGCAATGGCGAAACCTCTAAGGCTGTTGAAATGTTGAAACCACTTAAACAAACTCATAATGTTGGACCTGTACTGTTCAATTGTATCTTTATTATCTGCAGGTTATTGTTAAAGTGGACAAATAAAGATGGACACTTTTACTCTGTTTCAGTTTTGTTTTGTCCTTAATCAGCAATATAATCTTAAAGTAGTGTTTAGCTAAATTTAAAAAGAAGAAATTTCTTAAAAATGATTTAATGTACTAGTTTTTAGATTATTTGCCTTGATTTGTTTGTTAGAATAAGTGTTTTATGCCTATTTTCAGATTTAATTTCTTCAACATTTTACTTAGAACAAGTGGTTAAAGCTTATTTTAGGTTTCAAGCCATGATTGGTTGCCTGGAATAAGTGTAAAAGACTTATTTTTTAGCTTTATTATCTTTATTTGTGGCCTACAATCAGTGGTTAAAGCTTATTTTAAGTTTCAATTGTTCTAATTTGTTGCCTGTAATAAGTGTAAAAGACTTATTTTTAGCTTTATTATCTTATTTGTGGCCTACAATAAGTGGTTAAAGCTTATTTTAAGTTTCAATGTTCTGATTTGTTCCCTGGAATGAGTGTAAAATACTTATTTTTAGCTTTATTTAAATCTAGATATTATTCTTATTTCAAGAAATCTTATTAAGAAAAAAAACACTTACCCCATGGGCAGATAATTTCACTTGTTTTAAGCAAATCTTCACCAAAAATAAGTGTATTTTTCTAGTATTAAGGAGGTGGGTTTTTGCAGTGTAAGTCTTCTTGTAAAACCCTAACCATTGTGCCTACCCACAGTTTTTCTCTCCGCACTCAACTCTTTCCTTTTCACCTGATGTTTTTTTTTCCCGTACAGCTAATTCTAAGTACTGTTTTTGTGTTGGAATCTAAAAGTTATGAGTAGATAGTCATCAGCAATCTATGACCTAAATGCATGTTTAATAGTGAATTTTTTTTCTTGATTATTCGTGGCTGCTTCTGCTATGCTAAAACTGTGCTTGAAACTAAGTCTTAATGTCTGAAGCCTCTAAACTAAAAGAATTTAATTGTAGGAAGAAAAAAAAGTGCTCCTTTGAATGTCTGAGGCTCGATCAGCTGACGTCTTAAGCATAAAGCAGTACAATCAAAACTTCCTGCTTCCACTGTGCAGTGCACAAAAGAGGTCCAATGTGGCAGCTTTAGTCGCCCTCTGTGGCTTGGCAGCTCTTCTAACCTGACAGCGACTAATTCACCTGTTATAGAAACTGAATGTGTTTGTGATTTCTATAAACATCCACTGCTGGGTTGCTGTGGGCTGCACCCTGCAGAGGAGACGTGGATGAGTGATTGATAGCTGTCACAGTGCAAGCTGACACTCAAAATGCTCAAATTTCTTTAATGTCATGCTTTTATTTTTTTTTACTGACTGAAACTTAATATGCAAGGTTTACTGTGGCATTATTTGAGGCTTTGCTAGTCTTAGCCAGATTAAACAATTTAACCTCTAAAAGCCACATTTAGAGGCACATTACTAAAATAATTTAGTAGTCTCACCCCAATCTGAGTAATCTTTTGAACTACAAGCAGCAGTAGTCAAATTTCTACATGAGATGGAGTCTAAATTGACTGATTAAAATATACTACTTCTGTCACGTGATAGCTAAACTGACCTCATTAATGACTTGAATGAAATGACTTTACCAGAATGATTTACTTCGACTGTTTGATGACATCTTTGTGGTGCAGATAATCATTCACCTTCTGTGTGGAGATGTCAGAATCAAAACACAGACACAATAATGGATGCACTTTACATACAGTGATTTAAGAGTGCTGCTGAAAGCCGCGCGTGTGTTTCAGTCATTCATCTCTTGTTTTTTTTAGCCTAATTTGACATACTATGACGTACATGAATATAACATACAAACTAATTTAAATACAAAAAGTTCAGCTACGTGTCAATAATTGCGCTGCTTTCAGCATTCATTCCATCAGGCATGTTCAGTTTTTTGTTAACATTTCACACAATTTGTGTGCTGAGAAGAAATTAAGTGACATTTACAATGTATATTATTTCTGTCCAAGTTCTGGCCACTTCACATCCTGTGTTATATGAAGAAATCCTGAATAAGGCGATTATCAAGGTGGTTTTAATGAAACTGTAAACAGTGAGGACACTGAGGGCTAAAGGGAAATCCAGAGCTGCATCACAGTTTGCAGCATAACACCATAACCAACACATGCCATTTGAGGCATTGTTAACAAAATAATGCTAATAATCTCACCTTTACCACCTGAAGTGGCAGTTTTTATGATAATTGAGCACCTTACAGGTTGTAGTGTTATAGTATTTAGCCAGCATGCCCAACCAAGACAAACTAAAAAGCTGGTTTCTTAAAAGCAGAACTCATTAAAGTTGTGTATCTGCTTGAAGCTATATGGACAATGGATAGTATGGTGTGTGTGTGTGTGTGTGTGTTTTTTCATGAACGACGGTTCTGTCTCATTGGCCAAATCTATGTCTGAGAGCAGAGTGACCTTTAGGGGATCTGGAGTGTTTTCCATGGGTGATGAAGAGGTCCAGAGCCTTGTGGGAGTATAAAAAGGATTGGGTTAAAGGGAGATGAGAGTGGACTTGGGGATAGTGGGGTGTGGGGCACAATAACAGGGAGGT